GTTTTGGTTAGGTTTAGGCTCACGTACTGGTTAGGTATGGGGTAAGGGGTCAATGTTAGGCTGTAGAAATAATTGGTAAATGAATGGAAGTCAATGCAAGGTCCCTATGCTTTTATCAGAATGAAGGAAAAAAAACAGCCTCACATGAGAGCTGTAACACAACATGTTGAGAAGCAACTTGAGTTGTTTTTGCCAACAAAACATGTCCTCACAAAAGAAAGGCACATGCTTACATGATCCCAGAGTGAGTCATTTGTACTGATAAAAAAATCAATGATATTTTCACATTCTGTTTCGTAATCGGGCACGAGTGTCTGGTCTTGCCACACCTGTTGGGAAAACCCAAATGACTTATTTAAAGTTAATGAATAAACTGGAGTTTCTTCACTTTTGCAACTTGACCAAAATAAAAGGAGGCTCTGATCCGACTGCTGCATGTTCATCGTTTCACTTTTCAGCTGCTCAGTTTTACAGGTGAGATGCGTTTACTGGACGAATTACATTTCCAGCTGTAAATGTACTGAAATGAATCTGTTAATGTTCTCTCCTCTCATACAGAAACGTAGAGGAAACATTGTGAAAACATGAAGACTGTAATTCTGGCTGTTTTGGTGTTTCTGCTTGTCAGTCAGAGTGAGTAAACCTGCTGACTTTTTTACATTTAATTCAATCTACATCTGACAACAAAAACAGCTAAAACATTCATGTTTTTTTACAGATATATATTTTATTAGTCATTAGAAGTAACTGTCAGTGTCACCTTTACCTTTCTTTGTCCAGATGAAGCCCTGAGGTGTTACTGTGGAGGTAAAAGACGATGTCCTGATTCAATAGAGACCTGCACCACCTCTGACAGCGTGTGCATCAGTGCCAACTTTTTTGGAGTTCCTCGTGAGTATTTTACGACTTTTTTTAAAGCTCCAGGATAAAAGTGCACGAGTTGMTTAACTCTTTATCCTTGTGTTTCCACAGAGCCCTTCTACTTCAAGGGCTGCTACAGAGAAAGTGACTGCAGGAAGGTGAACTTTCCTGGTATGTCATCGGCCAGCTGCTGCAGCTTTGACCTTTGCAACAGATAGAAAGGAAATGGGYTTTAAACAAATAAAACTTCTGTGGCATTCAAAATCTGTCCTCACGTAGTGTGCTTTTCAGTACTCTCACAATAAAATTCAACTTTTTGCAACATTTGTCCTCAATCAGTGTGGTGAATTTAAAAAACTTAATTACAGTTGTCAGATAAGTGCAGTTTTAGAACCAAAAATAAATTATGAAGAAAGTGGTCTAAATTATAATGTTTTATGTTTAACAAGACATTTAATCTAGCCTGCATGGCCCGCATGCCTTCCTACACAGTTCCACTCAATTCAAGTGAAGGACAAGGGTCTGGTTTTTACCAGGCTACRTTTAATCTGCAATGGTTCAAAAAGGCATATTCACACAGAAAGAATACCACTTCAAGTAATGTGAAAATCATCATTCACAGAGATCTTTCAAGGCAGGGGGTTCTCAAGCATTTTGGGTCTTGGGACCCCTTACAAGGGTGAAAAATTTCCAGGGACCTCCTTATAAACCCCATGCTGTTTTAAAAATAGTTTACTATCATTTTACCTCCTAAAATCCATGGAATTTATGTTTGTTTTACTAGTGTATTGTGACCCATGTGCATTTTTTCTAAATAAAAATCACATTAACAATTTATTGAAAATTTTGAGGACCCCCAAGATACAGCTCGCGAACCCCTGGGGGTCCTGGGACCCAGTTTGAGAACCTCTGTTTTAAGGAACAAAATACTTTTTTAAATTTTTTTGTCAAAGAGTTTGGTGTAAAGCACTGAGTTACCTCATTTGTTTGTTGAAATGTTTAACATAAATAAAGCTGCCTTGCCTTAGGTTCAGCAGCACAATAATTAATAGACTGTGAAGTGATGATGAAATGTGATAATACTTGTGTTTCATTAAACAACAGTTGTTTCATCTACCACTCCACAGTGGTTAATTATATTAACTTATATTGACTTTCTATTAAGTTTATATTACTGTTAATATGACTATTTTACCTGCTGTGGCGTAAAAATCTGTGTTGGTCATATAGGCCTAAAGCCTGATTGTCACTTACTGCTGGACCGACCATTTGTAGCTAATATCAAGCAAATAATATTCAGATAAGCTGATGATCTGCAGCTCTGTCATAATAAAATTCAGTCTGTTGCAACATTTTTCTGTGATAATTTTGATGATCAGTGTTAGATTATTATGGTCATAATCCATGGTGGGCAGGAATGTGAGGAGAGACCCTGGCCTTTATTAAGACATCTTAAGAAACCACAGACAATAGATACCTGGAAAAACCATGTTCTGGCAAAAATAAAAAATAAATGAATTAAAATAAAACAATTACATGCAACCTTAACTGAGAATGGCTGGCTGGCAATATACTCTTAGTTTTCTATTTCACCAAATTACACAGAAAAGGAAAACTTCTCCTTTAAAATAAAAAAGTATTCTACGCTAGTGCTCCCATTGTATCTGTAAGTTTAAAAATAATTTCACAATCTTTGGCACCCTGAAAGAAAGAAGCGGGTATAGATCATGGACTGATGGATGGATGGCTTCGGCCACTGCTTCTTGTGTTCGCTATTTGATTGGGTATTCCGTGGTCAYGTGACAAAGGAATCCAGGAAGTGTTTTGGTCACAGAAAGCGGAAGTGAATAATTTACTGAATCTGAAATTGTTTTTATGGAGGAAAACTGAACCGTTGTGTAAGCAGAAAAAGGGAAGGCTGTACATCAGTGCTCTCTGCTTGGATTAAACATTGTATGTCGTTGTCGGTAAGAAGGGTCAAGATATATACTTTTAGGTTTTTTTTCTTTGTTAGCCGGCAGTAGCAGTGCTAGCTTAGAGACGAGCTTTAGCCTCTAAGCTAATTTACAGCTGTAGTTTCAGTTCGCTTACTTGTTAAGGACAGCTCGGGCAGGTTTTGTAATCGGTTTGTTTAGAATTTGTTGTGTTTTCGATCTGAAATTTTATGAAAGATCATAATGTTTGGACTCTATATCAAATTTACATCGGGGAGACGGATGAACAGCTGTCACTSTGAAGTCAGCTTCCTAAGTTTAGTAGTTTAGCAAACATGTCAACATGTTTTCAGGCCTATCAGACAAAGTATTGACTCGTATGTCTTTATTTATTTTTTCATTTGTAAGACTATCTTGTAGCCGTGAAGTGGTCTTGTCAAAGCATTCTCAGGCTTTTTAAATCATTTCCCTTTAGAGTTTGACTGTTTTATTCCACTCTTTTTCGCTTTAGTCATTTCCAGTTTGTTTGTTTTTATGTTTAACCCACAAGGTGATTCACAGAGAACTGAAAATGTGACCTGCAGTAAATGAACAACTGAAGAATTTTTATGTTTTGTCAGGGCTTTGATGGATCTTTTTCCCATTTCTTGTAAAAGTTRCATTTAGTTTTTGTTTAACCACAGTCAGTAGTTTATCACACGCAGCACAGTATTCTGTTRTGGTACAAGGACTTGTCAGAAAATTAGTATTAAGGCAGCTGAAGTCTAAACAAAAACTTTAGGATCTTGAAAAAGCTACTACTGATCAAGACCACTTTAACCCCTCTAATGCATATGAGTTAAAATTACCCACAAGGCCCCAGATTTAATACTGAGCMCTTGTGGTTTATTTGGACCCTTTAGAGGGTTAAAAGATGAAAAGAGTCGCTGACTGCTAGGAAGACAAATGTAAAGACTGAGATAGGTTTTTAATGTAACTGTAAGTACAGAGATGAGGTCATGTTGATAGCATAGTTGTCATTGAGCTACCGTAATTCGTTTTCTATTTATATATACTAAAACCTATGACCCWACTCCTCCAGTGGAACTGTGCACTTGACCAGAACAGTCCCCGCWGTACAAACATTTGACAAAGGCTGTTTCTAAATTACCCCAAATGTCATTTTACAGTTACTAATTAGCCCTCATAATTTTATTTACATTGCTAACTGCTATTGAAAGGTTTGCTACACACGTTTGTTACTGGGAAATAAAAACAGTGGATATTTTATACATTTGTGAAAGACTAAAAGATTTTAAACTATTGAATTTTTGGTTACCTCGTGTCATTCGTCATCTATAACCGTTCACGTAATCTTACTGATAATAAACAAACCAAACCAACCACATAACTTCCATGTTGACATCATTCAGTAAATGTGCTGCTGGTGGAGAAAAACATTAGGTAACCTAACCAGTGTGGTGTTTTATGAGAAAAGGTTTGCAGCTGAATAAATTTGAAAAGAACTCCAGTCTATAACTATTTTATTGACTAATTTATTCTTGGAGTATTGCCTTATTATTTAAAATTTTTTGTAGTTATACAACAATCAGTGCTTCTTGCTCAAATTATTATGTTTTTATTATTATTCTGTTAGCAAAAATATTTTAGTTGACTGTTGTATGTCTCTTATACATTGTTCTTGTTTATGCGTTATAGAAATATCAAGTGCTTGAATTTCTCATGAGTTCTAAGAGACATTCTTGTGCAGGTTTTAAATTTAAAAACACAAGCTGGTTGATTTYCAGCTTAAGCAAAAATGTATTTTGTCATATTTCCAATTTAATTGGATGTTTCTCTTGGGAAATATCCAAAATATTCACCCTTTTATTTAAAGCATTTAATGAACGTGTCTTTGTTTGAACAAAAACTTACTAGCTGTTTTTTTAAACAATGCTATCAATGTAAACATGTCATTTTGTTTTATGTTGTTCAGATCCTGTTTTTCTTTTTTTATTAAGGAACCTGGTTGCTCCACTGTCCCTCGATCAGTTTGGTTTTGCCTTCACCAGCGCAGTCCGTGACCTCAATAAGCATCAGTTTCCACAGCGCAGGAGGGTTACTTCCACATCCTCCACCTGTAGTTTCACATCACATCAGCCTGCCTCATCTATACCAGTCTCTGTCTATCAATGGCTGGGCGCGGTGGCGGACCAAGCAGGGCTAATGGAGCTGCTGCAGCAAACAAAATCTGCCAGTTCAAACTGGTGCTGCTGGGGGAGTCGGCGGTGGGCAAGTCCAGCTTAGTGCTGCGCTTCGTCAAAGGCCAGTTTCATGAGTTCCAGGAGAGCACCATTGGAGGTAAAAGTTCAGGGATTTTATTTATTTATTTATTTATTTATTTATTTATTTATTTATTTATTTCTCTGTGTAGCTCATGTTGCTTAAAGCAGTCATTTTTTTTGCCAACTCACTTCGACTTATATAAACATCTCAACAGTTTAATTTTAATTTTTTTTTTTTTTTAATTTTGAGAATCAATGTGTTTTGAATGTTTTACTCATCTGGACAATTTCCTAAATACATTGCTTGAATTTGGTGTTTTTGTTTGAAATCATCAATTGAAAACAATTTATGTCTTTTTAGGTCTTTACTCTTAATTTTTGTCTTTTTTTTTTACCAGATATGAAACAACTTCATTGGTCCAAAAACAAGTGCCTGAATTTAAATAGTCTTTAAACAGTGTTTGAAAGTAGTACCTGATTGTCATTTCATTTTAATTAATTTTTTTTTATTTTAGTTATCCAGTGCCTCCTAATCACATTTTGAGTCACAGATAATTTTCAACAGTTCTGTAGCCCTCACTGTATGAATCCAGTTCTTGGTCTTGAATAATAAATATTTGTGTAGACGCATCAAGACCTCTTGTTGGACCTGAACATTAAATTAGAAAAATGTAAACACTAATTTTAAATCAGTTTCTAAAGTAGTCTGATCTACTTAACTCTCCCTCAATCATGATTATTAAAGCAGAAACTTATCAAAACATTTTTTTCAGCTGCTTTCCTCACTCAGACAGTCTGTCTGGATGAAACCACTGTGAAGTTTGAGATCTGGGACACGGCAGGCCAGGAGCGCTACCACAGCCTGGCTCCCATGTACTACAGAGGCGCCCAGGCAGCCATTGTGGTCTATGACATCACCAACACGGTACGTATCTCCTGCAGGAAAACAGAGACGTAATAATTCCATATATTTGCTCAGCAGGGCTTGTTATACTTATAAAAGAACTGATTCTGTTTCTACAAAAGAAATGTATGTGTCAGTGTTAGGTTTAACTTAGGGATACAAGGTATTGTCCAATTTTAGGTTCCGTGTTTTAATCTAATTTTAGTTTAAATACTTCAAGTAAAAACAATGCTAATAAAGTTTGTTGGTTCATCAGGACACTTTTACTCGTGCAAAAAACTGGGTGAAGGAGCTTCAGAGACAAGCCAGTCCCAACATTGTGATTGCTCTGGCTGGCAACAAAGCAGACATCTCAGATAAGAGAGCTGTGGAGAATCAGGTATGAAGATGGAGCTGCAGTCACATTAAACAAGAATGTGTGTATATAGGCTTTCGTCAGCTTAATAAACATTTAAGACCACAGCATTTAAAAGCCTAAATCTTTACAAAAATGTGGATTCAGTGTCATTTTCTGTCAGGTATCCACAGTCCCATGACCTCCTGATGACAAAGGCAATAAAAAAATGTGTCTCTTTGATTGCATTCGGTTTGTTGAGCTGCATAAGCAAGTCCTCTCGCAGCGTTTTATTGCTGCTGAGGTTGGACACAGTAAGATAGTCATTTTAAACTTCTTAAAAGATCCGAGTGTTACGGAACAAAAATGTCCGGTGGTAGACCCCAAAAACATTTCACAGACCCTGAGCTGGTCATCCGGGAGGGACTCAGAGTAGAGCCGCTGCTCCTCCACGTCGAGAGGAGCCAGTTGAGGTGGCTCGGGCATCTGGTAAGGATGCCTCCTGGACGCCTCCCTGGTGAGGTATTCCGGGCACGTCCCACCGGGAGGAGGCCCCGAGGAAGACCCAGGACACGCTGGAGGGACTATGTCTCTCAGCTGGCCTGGGAACGCCTTGGAGTTCCCCCAGAGGAGCTGGAAGAAGTGGCTGGGGAGAGGGAGGTCTGGGCCTCCCTTCTGAAGCTGCTGCCCCCGCGATCCGACCCCAGATAGGCGGAAGAAAATGGATGGATGGATGGATGGATGGAGGCCCTGAGCTGGAGGATCCAATTGGCTGTCCGTCAGGACACGGGATGATCCTCAACCCAGTTTAAGCTTGTCGCTGGTTCTAACTGCAGTCCCATAACCATCAGACAGCAAGAGAAGGTTTTTAAGAACAAAATGCCTCTTCTTCTTCAACAGCCCAAAATTGCCCATTTATTCTTTATTGAAAAAAAAAACAATTTATCCTGGGGCGGCTGTGGCAGAGTGGTTAGGGGGGTCGTCCTGGAACCGGAAGGCCACCGGTTCGATCCCCCGTCCAGCTGTCTCAGTTGTTGTGTCCTTGGGCAAGATACTTAACCCCAGTGCCTCTGATGTGTGTCCCACCAGTGTAAGAATGTGATTGGCACTGATTAGTCTCCATAGTTGATTGTACATGTTAGCTTTGTAGGAGATCTGGCAGAGTGCTGTGTGAATGGGTAAATGAGGACACAGATTGTAGTGTGAAGCGCTTTGAGTACCCTGGTTGGGTAGAAAGGTGCTATACAAGTACAGTCCATTTATCCTTGCCGGTCTTGTTGGCTTCCAACGTTACTGGCATGACGAGGAGATCCCACGTGAGATGTTTTCTACGCGGCACAGTGRAGGGGGCACCATCATGATCTGGAGGGGGCTTTTTCCTTCAGTGGAACAATGGAGCTTCAGGTTGTGCAGAGGTGTCAAACAGCAGCCGACTGTGGAGATGTTGCAGGGGAGGATCCGTCATGACTGAAGGCTATCGTCTGTGTGGTAGTGATTGGGGTTTTCCACAGGACAACGTTGCAGTTTACAAAGTACTTCTAGAGAAATAACAAAACTCTTTTGGACCATCCTGCATGTTCCCCTGATCTAAATTCAACTGAGAACATACGAGGCAAGGGAAGCTTCCAGACAGTGGATGCCCTCCCTCCATGAAACTATCTTCTCCACTTGGAGCAACATTCCCTCTAGTCTCCTGAAAACACTAGCATCAAGTATGCTGATATTAATTTTTGAGATAATTAACAAGCGTGGCACAGCTACTATTTATTTTTTTGGGGGGTGGGGAGGATAAATGGTCTTAAACTTTTGATCAGCTGATGAACAGGCTATTTCAGCTTAATGGTTGTTTGCAATAAAACGCTCACTCAAATGTTTTTTGTGTCACTTCCATTTTTCTTTTTGTATTATGAAGCTCTACCTAGAGCCTTCTTCTCTGTGTGTGTATATATATTCATATTTAAAATGCCATCTTTCAAATTAATGTTCTTAGGAGGCACAAGTGTATGCTGATGACAACAGCCTGCTCTTTATGGAGACTTCAGCCAAGACTGCCATGAATGTTAATGAAATTTTCATGGCTATTGGTAAGTACATTATTGTTTTTATTTTTTATTTATTCATTGGCACAATTTTGTTAGATTTTGTTTTCTTAGGCAATCCATGGATTATAAATCTAGCTGTCCTATCAGTTGTTTTGTGTTGTATTGCTAGTCACCCTTTGTATTCCAAAAACACAGAAATTATACACTGCATTGTGTACTGACTTGTGTTAGATAAAGAAGGAGAAAATAACTTTTGGAGCAGGTGCCAAATTTTAAAGCTGAATTTCAAAAACTTTCAATGTTTGTGTCTCTGTAGCAAAGAAGCTACCAAAGAGCGAACCTCAGGGTGGAGCTGGTCAGGGGGGCAGGACGAGGACAGGAGTGGATCTACAAGAAGCCCCCCCTCAGGGTCGCAGCAGCCAGTGTTGCGGCGGTCATTAACAAAGTACAAATTGATGAACTTAGCAAGCGAGCCGTGAACATGTGAGGATGATATGTAGCCGAAACCCTGACAGGCAAGAGGGAGCAGAGCCCCTCGCTTTTCCTGTACATAATCTCATTTTACAGATGTGATTATCTGAATCTCCTTCGATTTAAAGAACTTTTAAAAATGAATCATAAGCTAGAGGGAATTCCCAGCATCCCTCAGTACTTTTCTCTGGTCTTTCCTTCATCTGTTTGTCCACCTTCCTGTTCATGTTCAGCTTGCTTTTCTATTGATTGCTTTACTTTTCTGAAGCGTGATGAGATTGTTGACATTTTCTCTGTATGTTTATATTTGTGTGTTCTAAATGTGTATGTGTATATAGTTTGTATATACAATAACATATGCACACACATTGTCTATTCCTGTCATTTCCCTCTACATTGATTGATATGACATCTACAAATACCCAAATGTTAAAAGTGCTGATCAGACATGCGACAGAGTGATTTAAACGTTTTGTCTCACTGCAGTTCATTTGCACCTGGAATTAACACGTAATAACTTGTTTATAGTGACGGCTTGCTTTGTGTCTACGCCTTGTACAAAAACAAATTCCTTTGATCTTCCCGCACCTGTTTTCGTTTCGGTTAAGTTGGCAAGAAAATGCGGTGCCTCTCGTTACTTGTAAGCGGCTGCAGTAATTTTTCCGTGAGGACAGACTTAGTTGCTGATCAAAAACTTCACAGGAAGGCAACAGTTAGAATGATGCTTTTACTGTGACAGAGTGAAGCATGTGGTCAGGTTGTACTGACTGAACTTTACACCCAGGTGAGATTCTGTCACAGTTGAAGTCAATTCCAGCTACAATCTGACTGATTCAAAATCACACCGATTCCAAAACAAACGTTTTACCCCTCCTGTGTTTTTCTTTACTCACATGTCTCTTTATGGACACCAAACATTGATCTGTTAGAAAGGAACTGTATGTTTTATTCCTGAGAAACACCCAAACCAAAATTCAGTTTTTAAGATTCTCAAACATTGGCCTATTGATTTGATTCATACACAAATGAAAATGCTTCTAAACTGTGTACCAAATGCAGTTGTGTTCCATTTACTGCGTTGATAACTAACAAAAAGCTGTTGGTCTTTTTTTATTTTAGAAATGTAAAATAACTTGTAAATCAAAAAAATATTAAACAACATGTACTACTCCTTTTTTTGTTATGAGTTGTAGTGTGTTGTTTCTGTAAGGTGGTATGAAATTTTTTTCATTTATTTGTTGATTCAGTTCAGGCTTAGTTTGGCTGCTAACAAAACTGTTGAGTTCTAGCACATTAGTCAAATCTAAATAGTGGATACTTCATTTCAGGATAAAACCTAATTAAATGAGCAAAACTGTAACTATATTGGAATCTCACTTAAGTAGATTTTTGTATTACTTCAAAAAACGACCTAACCTCCAATTTACACTGCATGCGGTTCTTCTTTGCTGCAAAGCTCAGATTTCTGCAGATTACATCTGCAGCCGCGGCTGCTACAACATGACCACTTCTGCTACGGTGGCCAAGGAAACAACAGCTGAAACTGCAACACTTGTTTTTTTTTAATCCATATTTCAAAATAAAATCCACACGTTTTTCATATCCTGCAATCTGCTTCCCAAACACAATTATACATTTTTCAGAGCATGTCTTTGGTGAATTATTTTGAACATGTGGGTACTGCGCTTGTTCGTTTTCCTGTTCCAAGTGCCCACGCCGATGCCTTGTGGATGCAGTGTAAATGCTCTTATTATGTGTTTTTACTGCGGGCGTCAGAACGGAGCAGACGCAGTGTAAATTGAGGGTAATAAGGTGACAGCAGAACTAAAATACAGCAAGTAGTAGAAACACTTTTTGGCTWCTTGACTATGAAAAGTGCTACTCAGTTACTACCTATTTACAAACTACATTTTTTCAACCACCAGATGGCAGCATCACACAATACCAGCACATGAAGTTTTTATTTTTTATTTTTTTTAGTTGATGAGGTGGAAGCTCACAGTGCTGCTGTCATTTTGATGCTTGAGTCACAGGGTTTTGTAGGAATAAAGAAATCATGCATGTTGACTGGAAGAAAGCTGCAGCAGAGGGATGTCACATTAGGGTTGTGCTTCATTCATGTTAGTCTAAATTTAGTACATTGCGTTTGTCTTTTTTTGCAGCAATTTATCATGTTGAGATAATATTTGCCTTATGTTTAAAAAGTATGTTTTAAGATTTGCTGAAGAAATATGCAATATTACTAATTTGTGTCTAGGTCTCATAGTGGCTGATATTTTGAATGTGCCCTTAGGTATAAATTCACACAGTAGAAGTGAATGGTAGTGTTAAGTATTTAAAAAAATACATATAAATCAGGTTCATGCTCATTTTGAAAGAATCCATAAGTAAAATTTATTTACCTTTCATAGATAAACACACACACACACACACAAACAGACGTAAAATATGTGAAATTAAAAAAGTAAGCGCCTATAGCTAAAAGCTTAAAAAATTGAGCTACCCCTTTAAACGTGTATGTATTTTTTTTATATTTCAAACTGTTATCTCCTTGATTTTTATTACTTTTTTTGTTTTGTTTTTATTCCAGAAAAGAGCAAGCATTAAATTTATTTTGGACATTTGAATACTCTCTCACCAACAGTCACACACAGCCTCACAGATATGGCGGCATTTTTACCCAAAGAAAGCGGGCGCTCTGTTCACAGTAAATGATTTCTCATTTGTTGGRCTGTCAGTCAAGATGTGTTTCGTCAAAAAAAAAGAAACTCATTTCATGCTTGGCCTCTGTGAATCATAATGGACTGAGAGCTGGACTGAAATTGACTGTGTTTAGAGCAGCAGCTTAGCAGAATAATGGAAATGTGGCCTGGAAATAAATCTATCTTTCTTTTGTTCCACTCTTTTCCTTTACTTGTTTTTACATGTTCAAATGAAACCAATCGAATAGGTGCATTTATCATAGGAATTTGTTGATTAGCTGTGGCAACTGTGAATGTGTTTTCTTGACAAACCAATGGACCAATTTTACAGACCGTTATAAAATCGAAAACACAGGCMCTGATGGTCTTCCTCTATCTTCCTGGGCGGAAAGAAATGTCATTAAATACCAAGGACACGGGGACACCGTATCTGGATTGCATTTTGTGCAGGAGTTTGAGATTTCCGCTGATAGCGATCGTATGTGTGATGTGGAACAATAATTGACTCTTATCTAAAATGAAACATCTGCCACTAGACGGGAGCTTAGAAAAGGAAGGAACCAAACACATTTAACACTCGTTGAGGGAATAACAATTTTCTAAATATGGTTTTTATTGTTGCCTTATGTTTGCTAACTATATGCTACTGAACGTTCACATTTTTTTAACACAGACTTTTAGAAATGCACATACAATTTTAAAACAGCCACTTTATTCAATGTTTTCAGTGGAAACCATATTTTAGATTTAGTACTACGTTGTAAAATTATAACTTTAAAACTCAACTGAACTTTAGTTATATGGCACTTAACAAAACAAAAAGATTTTAAAAATAAACAATGTAAATCTAATATGTAAAATAGACTAATAAATGTAAAATAGAGCTCAAAAGTGTTGAAACAATTTGTGCTGGTGCAGTAAATATTTGTGCTCAATTTAACTTCCTTCACTACCTGATGTCACCAACAGTTGTTGCTGTCACAAATGTAAAGTTTCAGATGTACAKTGTGAGTCAAAAGCCTCAGGACAYCCTTTCATTTCAAAAAGAAAAGGGAAAATGGTGTATCTGAATACCTCCAGCAAGTAATGGGTGAGGAGGCCTAGCTTTGGAAAAACTTTCGAAATCTAGACATACAGTAGCCTAAATGATAGTCTGACTCACCCTGTATTTACACTGACTCTCAAATAACATTTTAAATTTTTATTTTTCATTGTCATCTCTGGCTTCTCAGTGACTCACCATCTTCTTGAGAGTCCTAAAAAACTCAAGTAGACTTCAGTGACMCTGACCCTGAAGGACAGAATGTACAAGGATGCACACTTTAGGAGTACATATTATCTRGGAAACATCATGATCTAAATTTCATCACTTGCTTCTCTGAGAGGCTATCATCCTCTTTCACTGCCTGAGCAATGAGTGATTTCTGGAAAAATCCCCTCCTCAAACAGAAAAGGTGTTCATACAACGAACCCAGGGCCGTGCACTGCATGTCACTCTTGAAGGCCTTCATGTTTTTGTTTTTGGAAATGAAAAATGTAGAATTCCTCCTAATTCAATGACCCATAAAACCTATGCGTCTGGGGGGCATCCTTACCAGACCACCTCAGCTGGCTCCTCTCACTGTAGAGGAGTAGTGATTCTGACAATTAATGAGTTTTGTTATCCCTGGAGGACAGATTTTGTTGTGTTAAAATACCTGCAGCTCAAACAGTGCCCACTCTCTTTTYCCTCATGAGTCATAGCTTTCTTTTTCAAGGATTTTTTCCCCCTCAAAGCTAAGGCCATCAAATAAAAAAAATCACCACTGATCCATCTGAAACATTGATTGATGGTTTCATTTTCTGTTAAAAAAAATTGTGATCTGAGCCTCATCTGTACAGAAGTCATGTCCCTTTCATTTCCTGACATTTGTCAAATTGAGCAAAAGGAAAGATTAATACTTCCAGCTAAACTTCCTGTTGACTTAAGAGCAATCACGTGTATAAAACCTGTGTTTCCTTTCTGATGTGTCACATGGCAAAGACAAGAAACGTCACATTTTGTTAAATAAAAAAATCTAAACGTTAAASCTACTGGGAATGTGCCACAGTCAAGCCCTCCTTCTCCTTTATATTCCCACTCCACCCTTTCAAAACAAACCACTGGCATCCTGAAAGTGTCATCCCAATCAAACCTTAAAATGACACACAAAACGAGTATAGGGTAAAAATAAACGCACTGCCATGGTGACGGGTTTGAAACGTGTGGCTCTGACTGAGTCGTGGCCGATTCCTTGATGGCTCCGTGGCTCTGCGGAATAAAAATGTTCTTYAATGAAAGCACTCAAGATGATGACGGAGCCGAGAGCTGTTATTAAGTCTGATGGCGGGAGCTCGATGATTGGTCTTGAGCTTCGYACAAATGGAGTCCCCATATTCTCTGATCTAACCTTAACAACAGGAGGCTGATTCTTCTTCTTCGGGTCTTGGCCTGTTTCTGGTTTGGGTTTCGTTACATCAACACAGAGACACGAGGACCCCCCCCCCCCTTTTTTTTTCTCTTCCTACAAACAACATGTGCTCCTTTATTTTTAGGGGTGGATGCCTTGCAGTAAAGGCCAAGCAAGGGTGTCAAAGGACTTCAATGCGAAGGACATAGCTCAGACTCCAAGTGCCTTTCCAACTTGCGTCCATCACCATCCGGCTGACAGCTGATTCAAACGCACAACGGTGAGCAATGTGCCCGAGTCACTGAACTCCCCGATTCATCCGCAGGCATCTGCTTTTGARCACAACCCAACAATGTTAATGAGAGGCTCTGACAGGGGTGGGATCATGGGAGTGACGGCTGGTGATAGAACTGTGCAGCACGCAGGCACGACCTAAAGGTGGAGAGGATTTGCCATCTACGAGTAGGACAACATTGTCCTGTGACTCTTCAATTATAGTTCTCAGATGGGCTATTATCTAGCGGCCGTTTTTTTTTTTTTTTTTTTTTTTTTTTTTTTTGTGGATCTGTTTGTGGGCAAACATTGGCATTGTTTTGAGGCTGTATAAATACCAGGGTGTAGTGTTTCCTATAGGCTGCCAGCGCTGGTTCAAACAAGCTACAATAMAGAAACAATGAAAACAGAGGTGTTRCATTGGGGGTTCCTCCAGAAATTTGTTAAAGCCGACACTTTTAATCATTGTGCATGACTCTCAGTCACTTCCACACCATGTTTTWGCTCAATATTTGTAAAAATGACWGAGTTATAGCCATGTTTAACTCTTGTTTCCTCCCACAGTCCAAAAATGTTCAGGTTCCTTTCAGGCTCCTCTCGTGGACCAAAGGTCCCTGCTCTCAATGATTCCCTGATTAAATAAAGAAGAAACAAATGTTTGTCTTTGCTAAGGTCGATTGGCCTTGTTGAATCAGACTTGTATGTCCTTGAATTTCATTAAAATCTGTCTATGGTTTCATGAAATATTTTTGACTGATTTTGACTGAATAATTTTCAGTGGGTGGCTCCACAGCTAAGGCTACATGTTTTGAGTCTTTTTGAAACAGCTTCTCTGGAGCTGAACTTGTTTTATTTAACGTTTGTGCGTAAAAGCACTGTCGATTTTGTTAATAAAGTCGCAGCTACTGGAGCGAAGAGTTTTTGTTTTAATTAGAGTGCAGCTAATGGAGCGTAAAGGGCTTTATTTCCCTTTCTGGCATCAAATTGGTTGTTTTAGTTTATTAATAAACTTGTTTTGTGTGTGTTGGTACACTCACTATTTTTAATTTTTTTAAAATCTTTTTTGCTGACTGTTCTGTGTTCAGCTGTTTAATGGATGTAAAAATGCAATAAACCAAATTTTGGTTTATTATGTTGAAACCGTTGTTTCAGATGATTTTGTAGATCTTGATGTTTAACATGAACTTGATCTTTAAATCGTGGAGCTAAAAAAAAAAACATGATAATTTTTTATCAGAATTTTAAATGATTTACTCAAATGAATCCCATTTCAAACACGTTAGCTTGCCACTTCTCCTCTGTTTTTGTGTTTGTTCCCTTTTTTTAATCTTTCCTTTCCTCTCTCATCCCACCGCTCCGCGCGCGCACTGATTCCGTATCTCTGTCGCGCAGGCGGCAGCAGTGGCTCAGCGCGCGCGCATTGCCTGCTTGGTGCTTTATCTCTGTTCTTCTTCTTCTTTTTTTTTTCTCCTTCGCTCGCGGGACTGAAACGCTCCCAGGCAGCTGCAGCTCGCGCTGTTGAATCTGTGGCGGCTGGAAATGGACAGAGACGACAGAGAAGCTTTGCAGCAGCCTCGCGCAGGTAAGAGAAAAAACATTTTATTTGTATTTTTTTTAAACTCTCACGTTTTGACGAATGTTCTTTTAATTTCGACTGATTTCACCGCTTTTCTYAGTCAACATTTTTTCTAAATTAGACTACTTTTATTAAAACTGCCCAGCGCTGGCTTTTTTTTGTATTGACACACTTTTTGCTCTTATGTTGAATAAATTTTTTACAAAGTGGAACAGCACACTTCTGTGGACTCACTAGGCCTATGTTACTAGCCTACTTTAAAACAAAAAAGTTTTTTTAAGAATTATTTTTAGAATTAATTTACTTTTTAGGCTATTGAAGCAATCCTTTTATTAACTCAGACCTAATAATCCAACTATACTACTGCTTTTTTTTTTTTTTTGGTTGTTTTTTTTAATTTTTTGCTCACTTTGCTGCATTTAAATGTTAAAGATGAATATCTGTAACCTAAGTGGCATTTGGCATAATTCATTATGCTCAATTGATATACTTGCTGTTATAGCCTGTTCATATATTTGGATAAATTGTCTTGTGTGCTGGATTTTTAAATAATCACTTGAATGTTCAGTAAATGAAATAAAGGCCCAGCATTCCTTTAAATGGCTGCCATTCATTTCAGAGATTTAAATTAAAATCATTACGCTAAGTTGTAAGTTTAGCTGTTTTGGTCAAAACAGAAACGATCTGCTGCTCAGCTACTGCTACACCAAATTTCAGCCGAATCGCTGTGAAATTGACTGAGCTATAGCTATTTTTGTGTTGGCTAAGGTCCAATAGCTGTGGCGGCCATCTTGAATTGGGCTGGTCCAATTGTTGAGTTGTAGAAATATGTACGGTGATAACTTTCTGAGAGTTTCATTAAACTCTGTTCTGTGGTTTTGTGAGATATTTTGCTAATGAACAGACATATTTGTCTGACTAATATTGACTAATATTTTAGTGCAAAATAAAAAAAACTGATCTTGTGCAATCCGTTTGCGCTCAGAGTATTTATTGGGATTGACTCTCACTTACAACCTCATTAAATTTTAGCTGTAAAATTAAAATTAGAACCAGTTTTCATGTTTGCTGTGCTTTCTTTGATGTGGCAACTGAATGGCAACCAAATTATTTGCTTTTCAGGGTTTAGGGAGGTCTCACTYAGAATGAGCCTGTTTTTACTCTTTTTGGTATTTGGGTTTAGATCATGATAATATTAAACCATAGGTGACAAGACTATGAAATTCTGACTGTTGTGTTCCTTTTGTTAGGGCACCACTTGTTTTTATTTTTTTTCTAATTTCAGGAGCCAGTTAAATATGCATAAGTCATATCAGATGTGGCTGTTAGCTTAAATTATCAATCACATTTTCATCCCCTTTAKGCAAGAACTACAGCTCAAAAAGAAAATGCAAGTACAAGCCTCAGTCGTTTGAAACTACTACAGTATATTTTCCTCCAGGGGGRATAAAAAAAAAGGCTCTCACTGTGGTAACCATCATCCCAATCAATAGAGTAATTCATTACTCTGTAAAACACAAGGAACCATRTAAAAATCCCATTAAATAATGTGGCTAATTGGTTTTGTCCGAAATATGGAAAATTTCACTGTTAACAGATCAGGGCATTTACATATAAACAACAATCAGTGGACACAAATCATGTTTTTTTAAACATATTAGTCTTTATAATGATTTTATTTTAATTTGATGAAATGCAAATTGGTTGTTGTAAAAGTTAAGGGTGGTAGTATATTTCAGATTTCTCAAACAGAATGCTATATGACCGCATTGTTTAATTCTTTACTTCATTAAAGGAAGAAGTGAGGTAAAATGGTTTAATAATTATATTTTGCATGTATGTCAGATATATTGTAAAAAAAATTGCAACATAAAAAACTGAAAAAAATATGATTTTAAACAAATGCTTATC